ATTTCTTTCATGGTCGTGTAACTGCCGAGGTCTACTTAGACTTTCTGAAGAATCATCTACCACTACTATTCGAAAATGTTCCACTAAATATAAGACGCTGAATGTGGATATTACATGATGGAGCTCCTTTACATCATACTCAACCAGTTCGCAACTTTCTGAACCATAATTTTGAAAACAGGTGGATTGGAAGAGATGGACCAGTTATGTGGCCTCTCAGGTCCCCTGACCTCACTAAAGTAGATTTTTTTGTGTGGTTTCGTAAAAAACGAGGTTTATAAAACTAGCCCATTAACTACCGAGGAAATGAAGGAAAGAATAAGACAAGTGTTCGCGAGCATAGATGTATAATATTTGAAAAACGTTCAAAGATAATTTGAAGCTAGATTACAACATAATAAAAAAGACCAGGCTAGACGATATACTCTAAAACAAACGGAGTCCCACAATAGATCTGAAAAGGTCGCGGTGGACAAGGACAAATAACGTCCAACTCCTAATCTAATCTAGATTACAACATTGTATTGCAGTTGGAGCAAGTCACTTTGAGCAGCTTTTATAATATCTTTTTTTTTTATTTGTTAATATACTAATCTAATGTTGCATTCTAAAAAAAATTAAAATAACTTATTTTTGGCTCATATTTTTTTCATTCAAATATAAAATATCTTCTAAACTGTTGTGTTTAGGGATAGGGACAAACGAACGTATAATTAAAGTACTTTTAGTAGAGATATGAAATACAGGGGGAATCTAACCTTAAAAGTAAAGAAAGTAAATTCAGTTGATAATAAATTGTAGCTAGGTACCTTAAAAATATAAACTGATTAAACAGTATATTTTAACAGGGCGTTTTTAAAGTCGGTTTTTTTTAAATTTTTAATTTCTAATACTCGTTAGAAGATATAAAATATTATAAGACTATTTTTACTGATAGTACTGTTAGCAAAATAAAAAGGGGAAAGCTGAAATTAAAGGATGAGGTAATACCATGTACATTCCCAAATCTCCATTTATATTTTGTATTACAACAATAAAAAATCTGTTAACTGTGATTTATTTTGCGCTTAAAACTATATATAGGTTCAATTCAAAAAAAATTTGCCACAAAATTGTACTTATCAAATTTCAGATTTAACAAACCTCTTCGAATTTGTTCATATCTACTTAATTTGTTTTTTATATAGATAAAATTAAATAATTTATCAATTAAAACATGCAAGACTTATTTAGAAATAAATATGTTCTGTGCTTTATTTAGCTATAAACAAGTTTATTTTTATTATTTTGACAAAATTATGTATAATTTCTATAAGAAGCCATGTATTTTGAACACAGTATGCAGTACTAGCGCCCATGCGGTTAATTATAAAAGCTCAATTAGCGTGCGTTTTTTGGGACCGCATTTTGAGTATGCCGATTCGCCTCCTTATCTCTAGTCTTCATAATGTTTCCCCACGTCTAATTCAAAAAAGTGTCTTCTAGATTTTGACACTAAGGATAAGACTATTAATAAAATCACACACTACACCGTGTTTTTGTCCAAAATTCATCCTTAATTATTATTAATTAACAATTAACAGATATTTCAAATAATTATGTACAAAAACAACTGTCAAATTCATCAGGCAACCATTTGGACAGGACGTTAAAAAGCCTTTATTGTATTTTTTTTGATATGTCAAATTTGACAGGTGATCGACAAAAAAATTCCAACTCCATTTTTTATTATTTTCGAAAAATTTCTATAAACTAAATAATTAAAAAAATCCTATATGAAGTGGACGAACTTTGTCGAACGTTTTTAATTTTCGTTGGCATTGATTCAGACAAAGATTAATTGAAATTCAAATTTATAAAAATAAGTAATTAAAAACGTATAAATTATTTATCTAAATTCTTGAATGTAGGTATTATCAAAGAGAATATTTAATATTACGTTTAAATGTTATTTCATTTATTTACTAAAAATAGTTTAGTGGCCTTGACCATAGATGAAATTTTATTTATTTTGCATACATAATAAAAACAGGAAATATGATTATGTTATAAAGTTTGAAAAATATTTATAGTTTGAATTAATGGATTCTCTGTCAAGTGCCATGACCACCGGTATGGCTTTTTGGCTAGTGTTGCCAACATCTGAGAATGTTACTACGAAAATAAGCAAAAGGGAAAAAATTAAAACAGGATTTTTTTGTAGGATCGTTGAAAATGTTTTTAGTTTTGATTTTTAGTACGTTGATTTAGCGTTTGACTGATTTTTTATCAAAATATATTGTTACGCAGGTTTTTGGTATCTCAATTTATTTCAATTGATAACATTAACGTATAACGTCTATCATAAAAACTGCCTCCTTACGTCAGAATCACTGACTTATATATCTTGCTTTAACCTTCTCGAACCTTCTTGAACTGTCCAGATTTTTCTTGACGTGAAATGACATTTCTCGAATATTCCCTCTTCTTCTTTTACTCGTACCTTTACTTATGACGACCGCAGCACGCTGCAGAGTGCAGCCTAACAATATTTTTTTTCATTTTACTATTATAATTTAATTTTACAATTTTCTTTTGCCACAGTACAAAAAGGAGGAGGTGCTCAAATCGTCGTAATATTTTTTTTATGTATGTTCAGCGATAATTCTTTAACACGGTGTCCGATGTCAATGATCCTTTTTTTGTTAGAAAGGGGGTACTTCAGGGGTGGTCCCATATTAATTTGGTCAAAATCTAATAATTGGGTACAATAGAAAATCCTCAAACTCTTAATTTTTAATGTATGTTTAGAGGTAATTTATATGATTCCTTTTTTTTAGTAAGGGGGGTACCTCAGGGGTGGTCCCATATAAATTTGGTCAAAATCTAATGAGAGAAAATATTCAAACTCTTCATTTTTTTATGTATATTAAGCGATAATTTTTAAAATTACTTTAATACTTGTTTTATATTGATGCTTATCAGTCCAAGAGTCCACTGCAAATGTTGGCCGTCAACTGATAACGAAATGAAATATGCTCCGAAGGCATGACAGTTTTCCAGAAAACAACGTATTTAAATATTTCTTAAGTACATCGTTACAGGGAAACACTTTATTCCCCTTAACATCGCACAAAAAACATCTATCTATCATTAATAGGTAAAAACAATTAAAAATATGAATCAATTTTTGGTGATTTGAAGATTATTTGTATACATTTTATTGTGATTCATTTTTACAGGTGTCATAGAAACGACAAAAAACCATTATTTTTGCCATCGGCATTAACTGCTAAGGTTATTAGCCTCGTTGTCTATGTAGGCTTTGTTATTGTTTCCCAGCACCACTTTAAGAACAGCACTGTTAATTAGAAACGAAACCGGGGCCTTTGGATCTGAAAGTCCAGACTCTAACCACTGAGCCACCCACCACCCACTTACTATGATTATTGTTTATAATTATTATTGACTGTGTGCAAATGGTTTATCCAATGCCATCCTTATTTATTTCACCCACACATAGTTTAAATGGTAGGTAAAAATAATAATTCTGGTTTAAAAGGTAGGTTCACATTGAATTAGGATTGTAATTTTTGGGGACAAACAAAATTATCACTGTCATGTCTTTTTTGATTATAAAATAATTATTTTCAACCACTTTGTTCAGGATAGTGATTGGCACCGGTGCCGTTTAGTAAAATACCATGTTGTTACATTATGTTTTATGATATGCACCAGCAATATTTTCAGAGAAACATATAATACATTTTTCCGTCTACCTCTATCCAAAGTATACATTTCCTGGCCTCATTGCAGGGTGCAAAGTCGTACTTTTCTTCCCTAGGGAGGAAAAGTACTTTTACTCCCTAGGGAGGAAAAGTAAAAGTGACGTCATGGTATGTCATAAATGAAATGACCTAAACTATATTCTATTATATAAGTATAAATTTTACCGTTTATTTATAGAACACCCTGTATTTTGCAAAATAATAAAAATCAGTAAATTGTTATTTTAATTTAACGATTTTTACATTAATAATTTGACTTCAATTCATAGATTCATCCGATTTTCGAATTTAGGACAGAAATATTATAGCATGCTATGGTCGAATGACAGATCAGTTTCAAAGTGTGTTACGCTATAATATATCTACAAAATATATAATAATATTTAAAAAATAAGTGATTCAAGCGAATTTGAAGATATAAATAATACACCACCGGATATTTTGGAACAGATTAATGCAACAGTACAATCTCTATTACCTCAAAAATCTAAAGAAAAATACGAAAAACAGTATTTACTTGTTATTTGAGGGAGGCGGAAAAATCATATGTATTACTTGGGAGTAAAGTGCCTTTTCCTCCCTTGGATGTTTACTGCCCTCCGCTTCGCGTCGGGCAGTAAACTTCATCCTGCGGGAGGAAAAGTGGGACTTTCCTCCCTAGTAATACAAATAGCTATTTCCCAATACTATTATAAATGACGAGAAACTACTAGACTAATCCATTCATTCATAATAAAGCCTTTATTTATTGCAATCATTCAGATTGTGTTTTATATTATGCAGACAGATCTGCCGCATTGGAACGAACGAAACGGCTGATACTTTGAGTGGAGATGTTTTGTGCGAGTTTGTTTATATGAGAAGCGAGCATGCGTTTTATGAACGAATCAGTATTTACGTCTACGACGCTTACTTTACAGTACTATCACTTAAAAATTAATTGCGTACATTCCTGGAAATCATCTACAACCACAGCTTCAACTATGATAGTTGCAACAAGAAAAATACATTAAACTGATAATAACTGGCATTATGAATGCAAATATACTTCCTTAATGTAATTTTGAAAGCTTTTTGTGCGTTTTTAGTGACTTATGTCAAGTCAATTTCTAATTATAACTCGTTCATAATATTGTAGATAACACCTTAAATGTAATTCGATTTTTGTTCGTCGTTTTTTATAATGTGCACAGTGTTTTTGGCAGCCACTGTATGTTTTCTTTTTTTTTTCAGGGGAGTTGGCTGTACCAATCGACGCAACTGATGGCCAATCTAAAAATAGCCCAATTGAAGGAGCAACGGCGAAAAGAACTAGAGATTATCAGACAAAAATCCAAAGAAGAATAAGAAGCAAAACTTTTACTAATTATAATATTTTTTTTGTTCAATTCATTTCCTAAGATCTACGGAAAACAAATATTAGAATAGTAGACATTAAAAAACACTTTGAAAAAATATATATTTAGCAAATATGAGCCTGTCCAAACAGCATTAGTATAGCTGTCGTCCCTCCAATTCAAATGAGGTTCCTAGCAACGATTTTCTTCAAATTAATGAAATTAATATTAAAATAGTTCTTTTCGGCAGCTTTTTTATTAGAAAACCACTTAGATAGAACTAAACTATAACCTGACTGTTGAAAACCCTTTTTGATGATTTAGAGAGTAGAACGCATTGACGTTTTATCTAAGAAAAAACCTATTTTTAACATTCAAAATTTAAATCTGCTTTGAATGAACAGGCTTATTAGAAATTCTCCCTTATTTCAAAAAAAGTTGATCAATTTAGAGGGATTTTATAGTTACCACTTGTTAAATATTGACCCACGATCTATTAAAGCGCGTCAAAAATCTTATTACGAGGGTATTTCCAAAAATAATCTCATCTTAATACCTAGTACAAAAGGTTTACTGAAGTGTGGCGGTATTTGTGTAATTTATTTAAAGTAACCCGTAAAAGGGGTGTCCAAAAATGATTTTAAAATAATTTTTCGTAAATTGTAAGGTACATTCAAATACAAATCGAGGAACCAGATTTCTAGACTGAAATAAAAAATGGTTAGGACAGTTGTAGTGCTTCTACACATCGTTTTATTGGACAAATAGTAACAGAGTTACAGCAACAAAAATAGGAGGTACTTAGTATTAATTGAATTGGAAGAATTTATTATTTTTTTGTCTATAAAATTTTACTTTCAGGTGAAAAAATTTTGAGTCGAAAAAATTCCAAACAAACCGGTTTTTTGAAAATATATCAATTCCAGTACATTCAAGATTAAAAATGGAAATTGTGAAATATACATTTTTTTTTTTTAATTTAGAACGTTTATAATTTTATATTATTTCTCTTTCACGATAAGAAAATTCTAATTTGAACCAAAATCTTGAATATCTTTGTTCTGATTCATCTATAGTCAAAACTGCTCATTATAAAAATTGAAGGATATTAAATTTTCCACAAATTGTGTCGGATTATTTTTCTATTGGACCAATAGTAACATTTACAGCAAAGTAAAGCCAGAGAATGTCATATTTCGACTATAAATTTAATATATATTATTTTAAATTATCTTTCCTCAGAGATTTCTCGAGTTAATATAACTATTTTATTGTATTTTTCAAAAAATCGGGTTGATTTTGATTTTCTTTACATTTACATCAGTATTTAATAGTATAATATATACTACGCGGGTATTTTGAAATGTAATCTGTTTCCCGCATCATTTTTGGACACGTGTCGCCGTCAAATTGAGCCTAAATACTAGATTTAGAGCTTCAAGTAGAATCGTTGATGTATCACTTTCAAATTATTTTTGAGAACTTGGCATTTACGATATAATCTAGTACTTATATTAAGTTTAAATACATAAGTTTTTTCTAGTTCGTTAGGTTGGAACAAGGTATGTCTTTCTTTTAATTAGAATTGATCAAACACTCGCATTTTTCTTTTTTTTATGGATGAGTCAAATTATCAAAAAAAAAATTGTAATCTTATTTGTTTATATTGATCCTGTATTTAGTTGACACAGCAATTTGTTTATTATTAATTTTGTACCTAACTTTACTATTACACCCTATATAATAGAACTAACCATTTCTGTATATTATGGTCTATGTAGTAAATTAATAATCTTTTTATATATTATCTTATTTTCCTATAAATAATTCTATCAATGATATCTATAGTAATTATGAAACTGTTGAAAAATCTACTAGTCATTTTTTTTAAATCGCGGTCTGAATGCCATATAAATTTCGTGTTGGAATAAAAATGCTATAAAACTAGATAGAAACAGTAAAAGACTGAATGTGATTGGAATTATAGATTTGTATGTGTACATGTTGACAAATAAAATGCTTTGTAATTTTCTTCATATTTTTTGTTCTATCCTATTACCGAAACTGCTCTCAAAATTATTGTCAAAATTGCAAAAGGTACCCAAAATTAAAAGTTTTAGTTTGTTCAGTGAAGAATGGGCCAAACTTTAGATTTAGTTATATTATACCGAAACAAGTTCATTTCAGTCAAATTACCTTAGTACAATTAAAGATACTGGTGCAAAAAGGGAGTAGCTCTGTTTTTATTAATTTTTCAGAAGGTAAAAATTTAAATTTAAGAATATTTTTAATAAACTAGTCACAACGAAATAGGTATCACTGAATTAATTATTTAAATCTTTTTAAATGTCCCCCGTATTTTCCATTAAAATTTATACAAATAACAAGCACACCTAAATGCATATTTTTAATATAAAAAAACAAAACTTTTTTATGAGGAGATGAGAAAAACATATATATATATATACGCAAAAAATTAAAAGTATCTGATAAATTCAGTTTTACTTTGTACACCAATTAAATTGTTTGTAACATTAACTTCAAATTATGAATAACGATGTTCTTGGAAGGCCTATTGTACAAAGAAGGCATCTAAGTGAAATTGAAGTAGCAAGAGCCGTTACACTATTACAAGAAGGACGTTCGCAGAGATACGTAGCCCGCTTGCTTCAAACAAGTCAACCAACGATTCACCGAATGTGGAAAAGATTTCAAGACATAAGTATTATCCGTAGAAGACCATATATACCACGAGAAAGAATAACTACGCCCCGACAGGACCGCCAAATTGTACGATTATCCCTACAAAATAGGACAAGAACAGCTACACAGATAAGAAACTTACATTTTCAGGCCACTGGTAGACGCATATCTCTACAGACTACACGTAACAGACTTCATGAAGCCCAACTACCCTCAAGAAGTCAAGCTATTGTTCCTTATTTAGCACCAGCTCATCGTAGAGCTAGAAGAAACTTTGTAGCAGACCATGTAAATTGGGATATTCATCAATGGAGCCATGTTCTTTTCACGGATGAATCGAGATTGTGCCTTTACTCCAACGATGGACGTGTGAGAGTCTATAGACGCCGTGGAGAACGATTTTTGGATTTCAATGTAAGAGAAGTAAGAGTTTTTGGCTGTGGTTCTGTAATGGTTTGGGGAGGTATTCAATTGAACGGGCGTACACTCTAACAGCTAGGCGTTATATCGATGAGATATTAGCACCTATTGTCGTTCCACTGGCTCACCTAGAAGGCCCTAATTTTGTTTTACAACAAGATAATGCAAGGCCCCACACTGCAAGAATTTTTCAAAACTTTAAAGAAAAGGAAAATCTTACTGTAATGGAGTGGCCAGCCAACAGCCCTGACTTAAACCCCATTGAACATCTTTGGAGCATCATGGGAAGAAGATTGCGGGATCGAGAACAGCCAAATAATCTACAGGTGTTAGCAGTACAACTTCAGGAGGAATGGAACAATATTCCTCAAGGAACGATTCGTCAACTAATAGAATTTATGCCTAGACGTTGTGTCGAAGTTTTAAGAGCCAGAGGAGGGCATACACATTAGTTTTTGTTTATTTTGAAATTTTTTGATATTAATAAACAAGTGTTATCAATTGGCTTTATTTTTAACTTTATTAAATGTACGATAATGTTTAAAAATTAAAACTTTCACACTCTTAGAGACACATACCTAAACTATAAGAACACACAATTTAAGGTATCTCCTCTCTTTTTGGAGTTATAACAATTTAAATAAATGATACCTATTTCATTGTGACTAGTTTATTTTGTATACATCAGGATGTAGTTTAGAATATAATAATGGGTCAAAATTTCACACTTAAATAATTTAAAGTATAGTATTTAAAAATAAGTTGAGGAGCTGTCTCCTTTTTGCACCGAACTGAAGTGGGACAAAAATATATTCCGTATAACCCCTGTATAAATCAACAGAGCTGCCTCGTTCTTGTATCAATCAAAAGAGCCGTCCTTTTATTAGTATATTTCACTATGAAAAGAATACTATAAAAATGGAGCTGCCTCCTTTTTGCACCACTGTCTTCAATAATTATGGTTGCTTAAGGTGGAGAAATTCATTTTTTTTCCAATATTTTTACGATAATTCAATTATTTTTTTAGTAATTATACCCAAATTTTGTTAAAGTAAGTTTGTCTGTGTGATACAAACGATTATCAGCTTGTTTGTTACTTAACATGTACAGAACGTTTTAAACTGGTGTGCCAATATAGTATTTATTTTAGATTTTTTTTAAGGATATTTTTGAAAAAGAAAAATATTTTGAAAAAGCATTCAGTTTGCTTTAAAAAAGATATACTTGTTGCATGTCGCTAAAATGTATCATTTCAGAGAAAACTTAATTTGAAATAATTTTATTGTTAAGCTTGAAAAATAATACATAAATTATAACAAACTAGCTGACCCAATCCCACTACGCTGAAATTTCTCAAACCACAATTATTAAAAGTGAATAACAGTTCGCTGCTCCACAGAAATTTTTTCATGCGACACCTGGCAATTTTTTTGTTAATTATTAGTTTTTATTAATTTTCATTTCATGATGGTGGGTAAGGTTTTCCGGGTTTTCCTCACCTGTAAGTCAAATGGCACCATCAATCATCTTTAAGTCGCTCCGGAGCTCCACGGCAAATAATAATAATAGCCGTCCCTTCCCCTACACAAGTCGTTCAGTCGACTTCAGGGGTTGAAATTCACTCGTAAGGGGCTGAATTAGGGAGAGTATTATTATTATTATATTAATTTTTTTTATTTTTTATTTATTTTTATATTAATTTAATATTTATTTTTACGTTACTCTACATTTCCCCCCTCCTTAAAATGTGAAATTCCAAAAACCTTGAAATACGCCATTACTTATGCTTGGCTACAATTTCAATTTTCAAGTTCCTACTTAAAAAAAAATCGATACCCCCATACTAACTTTCACCCCCTCCATTACCCCTTTCCCCCCTTAAATTATAAACATCCAAAACCCTCAAACACGTCATTATCTATTTGTGATGAGCAGTATAATTCCAATTTTCAAGTTCGTACCTTTAAAAAAATCGATACTTCCATGCAAACTTTCAACCCCTGTTCCCACCCCCTTAAAATGTGAAAATCCAAAAACCCTGAAACACGTCATTATTTATTTATTTATGCTCAGTAGCTGTATTTCAAATTTTCATGTTTCACTAGCTACTATGTAAAAATCATGTCTGATCCCTTGCTCTGTAAAAACAAATCTATCCCACGGGAACCGTACATTTTTCCGGGATAAAAAGTAGTCTATGTGCTATTCCACACTATAATCTATCATTGTGCCAAATTTCATCCTGATCCGTTCAGCCGTTTTGGCGTAATTGAGTAACGATCATCCATCCATCCAAACTTTCGCATTTATATATTAGTAGGATTAATTCAGAACTTTATAAAAATTTTAGCAGTTTACTTTGAGTATATTTACTCAGAAAGTAATTGAATTATTTAAAAATATTGAAAAGAAAAAGTTATTTTATCAACCCTGTAACTTCTTGAGCCAGCAAAATTGACCTAAATTAACTTATTTTTGTCTAAACTAACTACATGTGAAGTTTGGCCAATTATTTATTGTATTTTATTATTTATATTACTATATTATATATGTATTTTATTCCAAGTAATGGCTTTTACTTAAAAATAGTGCTTATCCAATTAATGAAATTGCTGGCCCTTGATTAATGTTTGATTAATGAAGTTTTATCAAATAATTCGTATTTCCCAATGGACTATAGTATTGTTATAACAACTCATCGGAATTTTTAATCCTAATTACGTATAATCAATCAATAACTGTATTTATTTATAGAAAAAAACATTCATTCATCGATTTAATTAAGCATTAGATAGAAAAATAAGCATTAGATAGAAAAATATATTTAGCATTTTTTCTTTTTAAGAAATACCCAAAGAATAAAACTCAATAGGTTGGTTGCTAAATAGATAATTAAAAACCCTTTAAAATTCGGTGTCATATAAAAATTTAAGAGGAATTGTTACCCCTCCTAGGGGGTGACGTGAGGGTTAAAGTTAAGTAAAAAAGTTTAGATTCAAAATTAAAATAAATTTTCCGGATTTTCTCTTCAAATCATTATTTAGGTATATACATGGAGGCTCAATTAAAACACTCCCCATGAAATATTTTCTTAGAAGTTTTTTTTTGGAAATCCCCGAGACCGGTCGATTTTGATATCAAGGGGAACTGTTGGGAGTCGGTGAAATAAATCGAAGAAAAAAGTTTCCAAACAAGTTTTAATTAATCAAATGTTCAAATTGCGAGCCATTTATTTCCATGTAGTAATAAAGTCATTGTTCAACGTGTTCCCCAAATATTTAGGATCATTTCTGCACACTATTCGGTGGCGAAGATCTTATAAATAAGTAAGTTTCGTCTTATAAACATTTTCTAAATAACCCCACAAGAAAAAGTCCAATGGTGATACGAGTAGATCTGGCGATCTTCGGGGCCATTTAATGAAACGCCTACCAATCCAGTGTTGGGGAAAATGTTGATTTAAAAGTCACGTACAGAAGCTGCATAGTGTGGCGGGGCGCCATCCTGTTGTCATTTTTTGGAATATGATCGTGGTTTTTGAGAATCTCCACAAGTGCGAGGGTAGATCAAATCTTCAAGCAAATTGAAGTAAGACTCACCCGTCAAGTTACCAGGTAAAAAAGAGTAATAGTATTGCCCAAAATCCCAGCCCATACATTCAACTTTTCTGGATATTGTGAATGCTGTTCTCTCATAATTCGTATATTCGAATCACTTCAGTATCTGCAATTATGTCTGTTGACGAAGAGTGGATATGATGGCATTATCGTCTGAGTGCGATATGGACAATCCACTCGAGTTGTACAGTATATTTTTTCTACGACCTACTAACGAAAATCTACAACAAAAAATATGGTATAAGACAAAATAACTAATTTTAAAATGATTTATGAATTTTACTAATTTTTAACTTAAAATAAATATGAAAAAAAAAAAATTAGTAACCAGCCGAGACACGATCCCCCGCCTTTTCGCGTGGAAGGCTTTTTACTTCAAAAATCTTTATTAAATATTTCTATATACATTGTACATCTACCTGAAAAACAAAAATAAATACAAGTGAAGAGATCTTCTTCAACTCCTTACTACTTATCAGGTTGGTATTATTAGACTGTTGTGGTGAAAATGCAAAAGAGCGGTGAGTGGTCAGAGTAAATGTTGTTTTTGAATTTAATTATGTCTGTTTTCCATGAAAAATCTATTGAAAAAAACAGGGTAGGCAAGCACTCTGTCCATGCGTCTACAGCCACGTTTACGATTTTAATACTCGTAATTAAAATAGTTTCATATAGTTTAATTTTTTTTTAAATATTGTTCATATAAAAATAATGCTATTATTTAAGATTATTTATCGATTCTACACAAAAATAACTCATTTTAATATGTATATTTAATCTCAATAATTAAAAAATGTACTGACAATTAGTTTGACAGGATTGTAACTTATTTAAAATTTTAAAAATAATGGTTGGGTGTCCAAAATATGAGCTGTGATTGGTGGATTTCATTTTTTTGCAGTTTTCTCACTACCTAGAATGGATATGAAATATATTCGTTCAGTTGAACGCAATAACATACTTTTTTTGTTTGGTAGTCTGTGCGTAGATAAACTAATATCCATGTGGGTGTAGAAATTATTTCTCTTCACAAAACTGTATACAGCGATCTGTATAATCTTGATTGAGTTCTTGCATGAGATGAATGTTATAGGAATAGAATCGATGCTCTTTTTAATTTACTGAAGACTACTAACATGGAGTTCCCGAAGTGGCTGCTACTTTTCTGGGACTTGACTTCAACATGACCCAAAATTGAAATCTGTGCACCCTCGTTAGTAAGTGTGTTGCCTTTCACGTTTTTTGTTACCAATGAATTTAGTTATTAAATTGACTATACCGTAGCTGAGGTCCTTACCTGGATGTCTTTCATTATAAATTTTCCGGGCCCTTTTATTGTTGCTAAAATAGAGCGCGACAATTTTAATTCGTTCTGCTGTGATGTAAACCATGATTTGGATCGTTTCCTTTAAGATAGCGGATTATGGGTGCTATGATTGAACGTTTACGTTATCCATAACGTACATGTTAGGACGAGTTTTAACATTAACGTGGCAAGTTCGTATGATGGAAAACCCAATAACAAACGAATCTCTCTACACTAGACATAGTGTAAAATCAGAATGCATCTATCTGTAAAACCGTAAAAATAAGTCAGTCATCAAGGCTTCGCTGATAAAAACTTAATGTTTTGCAGTGGAGTTCTTCGATTTTTTTTTGTATCCGTTTATTTTCACCGACACTCCCAACAGGTGTTTTACATTAATTTTAACGCAGAACAAAAAAAATGTCACGTTTGAAAATGGAATTAAAATACTTTAACAATATGCCACTTGACCCCTCGTGCCATTTAGAATTCTGGAAGGGGTCACCACCCCGTTCAGGGGGATGAATCTACATACATGAATTAAAGATCAACTTCTCCTAGGAAAATATTTCGGGTCACACTGTATACTTTCTCTAAAATGGGCCGTTAATACAGTACAATATCTCGAATATTCTAGATATTTCAGAAAAACGTGCAATTTTAAAGAAAACTCAAAAACAAATAAGGAGAAAAACAGCAATTTAAGCTTTTATCCATCATCCAACTAATTAAATTTTGGGCATAGTCGAAACATCTGGGAGAGGGTTACTTTATAGGGGGTCCCTTTTCTGTTTTATAGAATATATCTGTCATTTCTTTAAATAAAAGTTGCTTGTAGTTATTCTCTATGATTTCTCTAAAATGGACTGTAATATTGTAATTCTTCAATATTTTCGTTGACAATGAGTAAGACGTGTATGAAAATTTTATGTATTTAGTTAATCCTCTAAACATTTATAGGGGTTGTACAAAATAACGGGAAAAAGCCTGAAATAACTGGACAGAAAAGTCATGTGTTAGACACATCAGCTTAATTTAAAAAATCCACAAAAATCAAATAAGACAACTAGAACAAAAATACAAACCACTGAAACTACGTATTACGAAAAGAAAACATACATTTTTAAAAATATTCACCTTTCAGGTAAAATATTTTTCGACGGAACAATGTGTAGTTATTCTGTAGGGTGCTTTTTCGCAGGAATATTCTTCAATAATGGTTTTTTAATCACAATTTTCTTCTAAATGCCTAAATAAATGAATTAAAAGTTTTTTTTGTATGAATAAATACCATTATTGGTCATTTCTACATAATTAGAATTAAAATTCCGATGCGTTGTTATAGTCCATTATTTAGGGTGGATAGTTTTCATTGAAATTCCCTGTATATATTTGTATATTTTTTTTCAACAGGATAAGATTGAAATAAAAGCCAATATATAATTTAAAATATTTAATTTTCGAAATAAAATCGCCAATAACTAGAAAACAAATGTATTAAACGTACAAATAGTGCAACACGGATATCGAAATTCACTAAAATAAAAAGAGTTATCTCACCTATATAAAAAAATATAAACAAGGGGTCAAACATATTAATATAGTAATTCATTCATATTATTTTTTAAATAATCAATAAATCTATCTAATTCTAACCTTTGAGTCTTTGCGGACGAATACACCTATAGAACAGCACTTTTATACAAAAAAAGAAAATTACTTAAAAGCTACTATATACAGGGGAAAACACTTAAATACAGATGCGCCAACATTAACTCTTTGTTTTCTATCAGTCAGCTAGAAACGATTCTCAACTGGGAACCTGCCAAGGCCTTTAAAACATGCTAGGCGTGCCTTCGCGATTCGAAAAAATTAAATTTTTTGAGGTTCTAGTAGTTTTTTAATATGTGGAGGGGCCAAAAATTAAATTAGCCGCTGCCCGTTTACTATCCTTACGTCGAAAAATATTTTATAACAAAAACTGGTTTTTAACGTAGTAAAAATTAGGATTTGGTTTATTTGATGGACGAAAATTTGAGTCGTTTCTTTTTTATTTTAGAATGTGCTTCTAATACTAGCCAAAATAATTTGTTTCTACTTCCGATTTTTCCTAGTAAATAATTTAGTTTCTACGAGAAAATTTGAAAATGAAAAAAACCAGTTTTGAACCAAATATTCCATCCGGAATATACAAACCTCTTAATAAGATTAAAATTTGGTGGTCGCTTAACTCACTAGTATCTTTACAAATATATGATTAATACAAATTCAAAAACGAAACTGAATAGGCCTATTCTCATAAACAAAAACAAATGTTTGCTCTCAAAACAACCCAAATAACATTTCTCCGACACCAAATCCTCATCCATCTGATTCGAAAATACTATCGATAGAAAAAGTGATGCATTTCACTAGTACGATCTCCTACCAACTATTCCCCCTCCTCCCATCCACCAATCGGCAATCGAGCCCCTCCACGATTCAAATTAAATAAAATATATCGATTTTTATTCTCCTTCAATCTAAATCCTTATCTTCCCATTTAATCAGTCTCCATTGGCGTAGGTGCATCTCCACTGACGTCCGGCACGTCCATCATCTCGGACGGCGACGCCATATTAACATCGTCCGAATTTTTTCCATCACCATCCGTTTCCATGACGGACGTCTCGTCACCGCCTCTCACGACGTTGCTCAGAAGGTTCTGAATGTAATCAGAAGTCATGGCGGGCGGTTCCTTGTCAGACAGCATCTCCGATGTCTCCATTTTCGTTTCGGGTTCAGAGACGTGGTTACTAAGATCCGATTCGGATTCTTTTCTATAGTCGATCGCAACTTTTTCAGATTCGTCTAAATCTTCGGGTTCACGTTCCGGCGGTTCCAAATCGGTTTCCCGTTCTGTCAGATCCAAATCGGTTTCCCGTTCTGCCGATTCCAATTCGGGTTCTCGTTCTGATGGTTCCAATTCTTTTGTCGCGTCTTCAATATCTTCAGTATCTTTCTCTGAAGACACATCGTCTTTGGCTTCTTTATCTTCTTCAAAGTCATCCAATTGCGGTTCTGATTCGTTTTCGTCATCTTCTTTTTCCATTGGAGATTTCGTATAAGATTCTCGATCTGCGATTTCTTCAGATTCCTTTTCGTCATCTTCATTTTCTTCAGATTCCTTGATTAGCGATTCAACTGCCGGTTCTTTATCTTCGAAATCTTCCTGAGGTTCTGATTCTTTATATTCGGATTTTTCAAGTGGTTCAGATTCTTTTTCGCCGTCTTCTTCATAGTCTTCTAATTCCTTTTCAGGGGAATGAACTTCGGGTGCTTTATCATGATTGTCTTCTGAAACTTCAGCATCGTCCTCGACCTCTTCAGTTTCATGTTCTGGCGATTCTTTATTTTCGAAATCCGCTTGTGGTTCTGATGATTCTTTCTTATCATCTTCAATCGTTTCCGGTTCACTTTTATCATCTCCAAGCGATTCTGATTCAATTTTATCATCTTCAAGTTCTTCTGAATCTTTTTTAACAAGTTCTTCTGTTTCACTTTCATGTTCTTCCGTTTGTTTTGTAACACATTCTATTTCTTCAGTTTCTTTTTTATCATCTTCATGTTCTTCTGATTCTTTTGATTCATTCTCAAAATCTTCCATTTCTTTTGTATCAGCTTCATGTTCTTCTGATTCTTTTGATTCATTCTCAAAATCTTCCATTTCTTTTGTATCAGCTTCAGGTTCAACTTCATCTAATTCTTTTTTATCATCTCGAAGTTCTTCTGATTCTTTTGCATCATCTTCCATTTCTTCTGATTCTTTTGTATCATCTTCAAGTTCTTCAGATTTTTTTGTATCATCTCGAAGTTCTTCTGATTCTTTTGCATCATCTTCCATTTCTTCTGATTCTTTTGTATCATCTTCAAGTTCTTCAGATTCTTTTGTATCATTATGGAGATCTACTGTATTTCTTTTATCACCTTCAAGTTCTTCAGTTTCTTTATTTGGTGATGCAATTCGAGATTCTGGTTTTTCAGAGACTTTTTCATCGTCATCTTCTTCGCATTCCTTTTCTACTGATTGTTCTTCTTCAGACTTATCTTTCATAGCTTCTTGTATTTCTGGTTTTTCTTTGGCATCTTCCAGATCTTCAGTTTGTTGTTCTGGTGACTTAAAATCAGTTTTATTAGACAGATCTTCTAGATCTTTAGACTGTGATGGTTCTTTATCTTCAGCTTCAATTTCTTCATGGGTTTCTTTGTTTTCATCTAAATTATCTTTAACTTTTTCTTCATCAATATTATCTTTATTTGAAGATATTTCTTCGTTTTCTTTATGATCTGTATCATCGTCTCGTCTATCATCTATAATGGCTGCTTCTTTTTCTTTGTCTACTGTTTCCTCATTCTTAGTTTCGGTTAATTCTTTATCTGTCGCAATGGTTTCCCTTACCTCCTCATTGTCGACCTCCATTTTTTCTTCTTTATCTTCGACAGCAGTATCGTTTTGAACGACCGCAGTTTCGTTAGCAACTCCTTCATCCATTTTATTGTCTTCGTCTATAATTTGTACTTCGTTTTTGGAGGTGTCTTTGTCTAATATAACATTTTCGTTAGTTTTTACCACGTTTTTACTCTTCGTAGTATCTTCAGCGTCTTTTTTCTGTTCTTCAGTTGTTGGTTTAGTAAGCGAGGCTTCAGGTATGACTTGATCGACTTTGTCGAAACTGACTTCCTTCTTCATCTTTTTGCTCTTCTGCGGCTTGGGTTTTTCTTCAGGTCTTCTGACCAAACCCAGTACGTCCAGCATACTGTGAGTCACTGTCGCCGTTTGGGCGTCCGTCCTTGATGGATAGGCGGATTTTCTTTCACATATCGCTAAGTGTCGCGCCATTTGATTACCTGTGAACAGAAAAAAAGAGGTTTATTAACTACCGTTGTCCCGATTTGGACTGGTTTTAAATACCGTCTAGATTGCTGAAACCGCAGATGCAGAACATTTCAAAGGGTAGTTTTCCTTCGGAGATCGGGTTGCTGGTTTTGCTACATTTCGCGTTGTGCTCCTGCATGGCGTTCGTACAACACGTCGAATATTGACAGTTAGGGTTCTGGCAGCTCTCGAACGATCTAAAACAAATAGTCAGTTAAGACTTACTGTCTCGAATCTTAAGTTCTAAACGCTTTCAGAAAATAAATACTCACGGGAAATGCTTGGGAGTGTCCATAGGGGTGTTGCACTCTTTACACATCAGCCCTGTGCTCAAATCGAATTTCAGCGTTGCGAAATTAATAACCTCCGCGTCAACTGGATATTTATCCATCTTCGACTTAGGAACCATGATTCCGTTTCGAGGCGCCGTCCAGGGTACCAGTCCGTTTTTACCGCGTTGCGATACGTGCATTTTGTTCTGATGCTCTTTCAGTACGTCCTTTTGAACAAACCACAAATTGCATTTGCCACAACGGCGAGCAAACTGCTTCCTTTGATGTTTCTGAAAGAAGAAATTAAAACATCGTTTCTAAATTAAGACATATTTTCTAAATTAGGGCTTATATTTTTTAAAATTAGGACTTATTATTCCTAAATGAAGACAATGTTTCTAAATTAAGAATGATCGTTTCTAAATTAAGAATGATCGTTTCTAAATAAACTGATAATTTTTAAATACGACTGATAATTTCTGTATTAAAACTTTTATTTCTAAATTAAAATTTATCATTTATTAATTAATATGTATCATTCTAAATTAAGATTGATCGTTTTTAAATTAGGACTTAGTTTCTAAATTAGGACTTATCGTTTCAAAGGTAAGACCGGTCATTTCTAAATAAATTAGGATTTATCGTTTCTCAATTAAGACTTATCGTTTCTAAATTAAGACATCGTTTTTAAATTAAGACTGATCCTTTCTAAATTAAAAAATGTAGCCACTAAATATTTACCTGTAAATGCTGAATGAAATAGTTCATATTCTGTACGATGTTCCTGCTGGCCGTAAAGACGGTGGTCGACTTGAGACAGAAAGGACACTGAATGGTCGGACCGTTGTCGTGTGTTCTGTAAAAGTGATCTATGGCCTGTTTGTGATTCGAACATCGATAGCTGCACGTGCCACATTGGTAGGGTAGCTCGCTGGGATAATGCTCCTTAGACATGTGCTTGCCTAGCACGAATGGATTCATGTATTGCGTTTCACATATTAGGCAGCAGAAGCCGTTGTCGAATTTGGTTTCGGCCGGATGTGAAGTAGCTTGAAAAAGAGTTTTATAAGATGGCCGTTTTTTATATAAATGAAGGCTTATGGTTTATAAATTAAGACTTATGGTTTTTAAATAAAGACATGGTTTCTAACTTAAGACTGATCGCCTTTGATGCACGCGTTGTTTTGATGTTTTTAGCCAAAGATACTCACCGATATGCTTCAATAGATCGTTCGCCGTAGCCACACTCGTCAGACAGTACCTACACAGCTGGGCGTCCATCGAAACGTTATGCGCGTGCTTGAATAAGTGGCTCATCAATTGAATGTTGTTGTCGAACGACGATTTGCAGAATGGACACTTCATGTTCAACGTAATGGTGGGGGTTTTCGAATAGGTATCGATGGTGCCGTAGTAGTAGCTCTCCAATGGTACCATGTGCTCGGGTACGTCGGGAGAGGTGCTTTTCGGCGGTCGGGTGTCTTGAGCTACTACCGTCGGGGTGGTTACCTTTAGCGAGGAAAGGAATGTATGAGGGGATTTTGTTGTAGGGACCAGTAACAGAAAAACATACGAAAATATATTTATTTGAACAAGTGTGTAGAAATTTCACGGTTAGAATTTGGGACCTTGGCTATAGTTAACCAGAAGGATAAAAAATATAAATGAATGTGTGCGATTTAAAGTCGTTTTTTAAATATTGACTAACAATTATAATATTTTAGAGCTACTAACAGTAGTATTTTAATTCTAGCCTTAAGAATCACTTTTTATGGTTGCTAAATATTCTCAAGACTTTTATAACACTATTAAGCTAAATTTCGCAATAATAAAGTATTAGAGAATTTTTTATCAATATAATTTTAAAGCTTTTTGCTATTAAAATTTGGTTTATACAACTATTTTTTATTTATATACATAAGCATCACTTTTTTATTGCTTATTTTACTATATATTCTTATTTAAGGAATTATAACATTACAAAAGACTGATTGTTTCTAAATTAAGACTGATGGCTTTTATATCAAACCTTATCGGTTCTAAATTAAGACTTCTCGCTTTTAAATTAAAATTTGTGGTTCCTAAGTTATGACTTATCGCATATAAATTAAGACTTATTCAAACTAATCGATTTACAATTAGTACTGATCATTTTTAAATCAAGACTGATTTTTAAATTAAGAATTATCAATTCTAGATTATTAACACACATCGTTTCTAAATTAAGACTCGTTGCTCATAAATTAAGACTCGTCGCTCATAAATTAAGACTAATCGTATATAAATTAAGACTTAGCCAACTAAATTAAGACCGATTGTTTCTAAGTTGGGAATGATCGATTCTAAATTAATATTGATAGTTTCTAAATAAGGACTTGTCATTTTTAAATTATGACTTACCCCTTCTAACTTAAGACGAATCATTTATAAATTAAGAATTATAGTTTCTAAATTAAGATTCATCGTTTATAAATAAAGACTGATCATTTCTAAATTAAGACTGATCCGTTTTAACTTAAGACCAATCGTTTATAAATGAAGAATTATCGTTTCTAAATTTAGACTCATACTCATTGTGTATTAAATAAGACCGTTTCTAAAATTAAAACTTGTCGTTTTTAACTTAAGACTTAAATTCATGTCTTTCACGAAAATTTAAAGACTTAAGAATCACTTTTTATGGTTTAGGTTACTAAATATTCTAATTTAAGGACTTGAAACATTACAAAAGTATTGGAAGACAATTCCATATTGACATCCATTCTAAATTCAGACTTAACACTTCTAGATTGAAACTAGTCTTTTATAAATGAAGAATTATCAATCGTTTCTAAATTAAGTGAAAATTTTTTAAATTAAGACTTAACGTTTCTAAATTAGAACTTATTGTTTTTAAATTCTTAAATTAGCAAGTTTCACAATAATTACTAAAGCTGAAATTTAGTTTGTACTAGCATTTTTTATTTGTAGACTCAAGCATTTCTTTTTTATGGACTTTTAAAATTACAAAAGTACTTTTTCAAAAGTATATCATTTTCACCAAAATTTAAGGGCTTGAATAAACTATCCATCATAAATCAACAAATTTTGCAACTATTTATAAAGCTTTAGAGAACTTAACTACGTATCAATATAATTTCAAAGACTTGACTCACCTTTGGCGGATCCGGTTTCCTTGCGTTCCTCTGCTTTTTATTGGCTGTTGTAACGTTCACAGTCGGAGGAGCACTTTCGACTGCCTTGGCAGCAGTGCCCACGCTTATAGCCCAACTTTTAAACGGATTTTGGGCCACCTTGTTCAAACGAACGATCAATGATTGGCCGCAGCTCTCGAAACGGGTCTGCTCCGACAAATGAGTCACCAAATTGTCGAAGGCTTGCAGTGATGACGTACCGAACCACTCTCGCCACACTAGTTCGTCCAAAAACTGCGGGGAAACAGGTTATAAACACTAAACGTCAAAACAAATGAGACCGATAATATCAAAAGTAAAAGAAATCATTGATAATGACAAACGTCAAAGAAACGTCATTGATAATCTCAACAGTCAAAGAAACGTCATTGATAATCTCAACAGTCAAAGAAACGTCATTGATAATGTCAACAGTCAAAGTGAAAGAAGCGATTCCTAAATTAAGACGTATTCTTTCTAAATTAAGACTTATCCCTTCTAAATTAAGGCTTATGCTTTCTCAAATAATACTTGTTTCTAAAATTAAAACTGTTCGTTTCTCAATTAAAACTTTTCTAAAATTAAGACTGATCGTTTCTAAATTAAGACTTCTCGTTTTTAAATTAAAATTTGTGGTTCCTAAATTAAGACTTATCGCATATAAATTAAGACTTATTCAAACTAATCGATTTACAATTAGGACTGATCATTTTTAAATCAAGACTGATTTTTAAATTAAGAATTATCAATTCTAAATTAACACACATCGTTTCTAAATTAAGACTCGTTGCTCATAAATTAAGACTCGTCGCTAATAAATTAAGACTAATCGTATATAAATTAAGACTTAGCCAACTAAATTAAGACCGATTGTTTCTAAGTTGGGAATGATCGATTCTAAATTAATATTGATAGTTTCTAAATAAGGACTTGTCATTTCTAAATTAAGACTGATCCGTTTTAACTTAAGACCAATCGTTTATAAATGAAGAATTATCGTTTCTAAATTAAGACTCATACTCATTGTGTATTAAATAAGACCGTTTCTAAAATTAAAACTTGTCGTTTTTAACTTAAGACTTAAACAATGAGGCTCTAAAGGTTAAGCGCCATAGAAGTGCAAGTATTAATATCAAAAACCTACAGGAAATGCATAAAAATGATCATACCTGTTGAATAATCTGCCTAGACAATAGAGAAAGAGTATTCTGGAACATCCTGGGTACGATCCTTCGCAAATACTCCATAATCTGATTGTTATTCCCGTACTGATTGGACGAGTACTGCACGACGTTTTGGAATCCCATGCTGACTAACGTTTGCTTATCGACCGTCAAATCGGCCACTAGGATGCTCTGCGGATGCACCCATCGGCAAACCGGCTCCAAAATCTTCGAGAACCGTTTCTTGTAGTTCCTATCACCTTCAGCCTGAGGTTCGACGGCCCTGAGACGAATCAGTTTCGATTCCGATTCGAGAACGCCCAACACTTCGACCTTGACCTGGCGTTGGTTGCCGTCCTGGGAGGTGGTACCCAACGAGATCACACCCACTTCGACCTTGATGCCGGGCCCGCCTATTTGACGGATATGGGTGTGGAGAGCGACGGTGCAGATGGAGCGCAACCAAGTGAACATGCCTTTGACGTAGAGATTGTCGACTTTTACCTAAAAATTACAACAAGAAATTGATGCGTGTTTGAATTCGTAGGCGTTTAAAGTACGTACCCATTGTGTAACGTTCTGTATGTTGGTCTGACATGACCAGTGGTATAGGAGTTTCAATATGACCATCGGTGGATGTGGCGAACCTTCAAATAAAGATCCACTGAATACTGATACAAATCTCTGAGGACAACACTCTGAGATCCAGACGTAACCTCCAGAGTATGGAAATTTGGAGACGTCACTGTACATGCCCAGTTTTAACTGGGTGGTTGCGTGGGCGGAGCATTTTTGTTCCGAACGAATCAAACCTTGTTGGATCAACCTGAAAAGAGCGATGTTTCAGCAACGTATTAGACAAAACCAAATCCAATTACCATTCAGTAAACTTGGTGGGAGCGTGCATCAATACAGATTTTACTTTGGCATCCAATTTGGGCCTGTCCAAGGATAAATCCTGGACCCTGAGGTGGGGTCTAGCTACGACGACTAGAGAGGGATAGGTTTTGCCTTGTAACTTATTGAAAGCTATTTCGCGACTGTCTGGAGCAGATCGGTTAGTATCGTCAGAGGTCAAATCTACCACTACCTTCTTACCACCCGTTGCAAGACCGCCTTGCACGTTAGTTTCGTCAGGTCGTACCGTGCTAGAGAAGGTATTTGCAGGAGGTTGCTAAAAAAATATTTAATAAGAACCCATAGCAGAAAACAACGAAAATCAGAAATTACGTCCAACTTATTTATCAGTGCACGAATTACAGAATAGATATTTTTCTGTTTATTATTTTTCTACTTAGCTAAAATTGTATAAACTCACCACTCTTCCACGAGTCGTAACAGCAGGTGTAGGTGCTACCACCACCTTCTTTGCTTGCACTCTAGTCTGAACGGTGCCGGCTTGTCCTCTAGTTTGAGGAGGCGTAGCTTGCGCTCGGGTCTGAGGAGGCGCGGCCTGTGCCCTAGTCTGAGTAACTGTAGCTTGTCCTCTTGTCTGAGGCGGCGTGGCTTGGGCTCTCGTTGGAGGCGTAGCTTGGGCTCTCGTTGGAGGCGCAGCTTGGGCTCTCGTTGGAGGCGTAGCTTGGGCTCTCGTTGGAGGCGCAGTTTGGGCTCTCGTTGGAGGCGTCGCTTGGGCTCTTGTCGGGGGCGCGGCTTGGGCTCTCGTTGGTGGTGTCGCTTGGGCTCTTGTTTGGGGTGTGGTGGCTTGCCCTCTCGTTTGGGGTGCGGTGGCTTGCGCTCTCGTTTGGAGTGTGGTAGCTTGCCCTCTAGTATGTGGCGTGGCTTGATTACGGGTCTGTGTGACAGGCGTTCTTGTTTGAGTGACGACGGGTGGAGAAGGAGGAGGAGGTGGTGGTGGTGTCATTTTGGCGGCTGCTCTGTTACGTGTACGGGTATTTCCTCGTGCGGGCGTAGTGCTAGGTGATGGCGTGGGAGTTTGCTGCAGGTTTTGCGCGACCTAAGTAGGATGTGCAGATGAACATTATTTTTTAACTATTAATATTTAAATATTTGCCTATTTTTAACTGGTTTTATTACCTTAATTTGTCAAAAATTATTGGTATAAAAGTGAGTAATTCAAATATATCAAATTTCGACTTCATTAAAACTATTGGGAATGACAAAATAAGTTACAAAAAAAAATGTTTAATTGATTTAATGCAGAAGACCAAATGTATCACTCAGAAAACCCACAAAATAGGTAACTGAGCCAGTAGTACAAATGTACCTGATATTGAAATATGATAAAATTATTACGGAACACAATTAAAATTGCTAAAAACGTAATGCCAATAATTTTCAATGGTTTTAAAATAGTATGTCACTTAAAAACACCAATTTAAATAATCTGTGACTTTTGTAGATACAGAAGAATGTTTTTGATAAACATATTGAAATATGTCAAAAATTATTATGGAAAACAATAAACATTCCCAAAAATGCAATGCCAATAATTTTCAATGGATTTAATACAATAGTTCAAATGTATCATACTTAAAAATACAAAAATTCAAGTAATCTGCACCTTTTTTAAACATTAACGCATATTTTTTAACATTAATATAATGTTATCATAAATTTGATTTTATATTGGATACAGTATGGACCAAAATAAGTAAAAGTCTTAATACACATGGGTTCACAAAGCAATGGTTTTCTGAAACAGAATTGCAATTAAAGAGTACACAGCAAAAACGATGAGTTTTTTTGTTCTTCTAAAAATTAGTTAAATCCATGTTTACATAGCTGAGAGTATGTAGTATATGCCGAACTGGTTTACACAGCCATAAACCTCATAGTTATGAAGTCATTTCAAAAACAAAAATGGTGTGCACAGAAAAAATTATGAATGTCACAGGAAAACAGAAAAAATGATGAATGTCACAGGCAAACACAGAAAAAACGGTTAAGCCCAGTGTGCGACGTGTGTGTGGAAGAAGACCTGACGTTTTCCACCTAATATTATCCAAAAAATATTGCACAAAATGACTACTTATTCATTTTACTTAATTATTCTAAGTGCATTTCAGTTTCCAACCCGTTTTTGCTTTGGACTCTTTAATAATATATTATGCACAAACAAACAAACAAAAGAAACTTCTAGCAAAAAATGTACACAAGTTGTTCAAAATACCCTCTTTTCATTTCCATGCATGCACTATATTTTTTTCTGATGGATATTCAAACTCTTCCTAAAACTCTTTGGCTCGAATTTATTGACATTTTTGATTAATTCTTAGCTGCAGCTCCTCAAAGCGATTTCACAAAACGTCAGCCAACTATGATAAGAAAATGCAAGTTTTTGCAAAACAAAAAAGAAGGCAAAAAAAAGAATAACCGTCCATATCTCCGAAACCGTTTCTTTGCGGACTTATGTTTATTAAGAATTTTTTGTTAATTTTGATCCTCTTTAAATATTTTAAACTTTTTTTAATACCTCATATGCTAACCCTGATTATTGTATTATTATGATCTAAATTGCTAAAAACAATTAAATACCATAGTTCAAATCTAGCACACCTAAAAACCAATAATACCAAATATTTTAATTGTTTTTTAAGTGGAGTATTCTGATGAATTAACATCAATTGAGCCAGTAATTCAAAATGTATATACGAAATTTACCTGTACTTTTCCTTGATAAACTTTCTGTTGAGTTGCAGGTGGTGGTGGAGGAGGATTATTAATAGCACCAACAACGAGTCCCATCCTGGGATCCATAATCAATTGGTAGCTCTGTTGCCCGCCCATATTGTTATTCAAAATTAAGCTTGTGGGTGGTGCTTGGGAACCTAAAAATAGTTCAAATGTATACTTTTGTATAGTCATAAATTTAAAAATGAACATAAGAAAAGACTAGTTAGAAAAGACAAGTTTCTAACCTGTAATGGCGCTCTGCACTTGCTCAGCCACTTCGATTATGGTGTGCAGATCCCCCTTGTGGATGACTTTGGCGCTACATTGACTGATTAGTGTGTCGAGTTTGGCCTGAATTTCTTTCTCGTCATCCTTGAATTTCTGCATGCGATTTTTCTGAGCTTCTTCAAGAGGTTCCACCCAGCAATCGAGTTCCAAGGTATTTTCTGCATCACGATTGGTTATCGTCTTCAGAACAATCACGTCGCGATCTAAAACAGGCCATTAATTTTTAAATTTAATACATTTAACATTCTAAGAAATTATTGTAAACAGTAATAAACACATTTAAATTCATAGTGCAGGTATCTACTTACCATTTCCATCGGACGATTTTCTGTGACTCAATTTGTATTTTTTCTTCGGCGGCGGAGGTGGTGTTGGATCGATTGGAATAATCTACACAAAAATCAATACTTTGAAACAAGTATACTTCGAATTAAACTTTGTTTTTAAAGATATTTAGCTGATAACGTCACTATGGCATATAATACAAATAAAAGCTACTTAAAAACTAATATTGTAATACATACATCGAGGAAATACTGTTGTATCCAATTCCGTAGAACAGTAGGCAAGCAAGAAGAGAAACAAAAACGAATTAAAATTTCATATTGTTGTGTACGAGGGCTGTTCGAGAAGTTATTGGTGATTTTATGTAGATTCATTTAATAGTAGTGAATAAATGATAATTTTATATAACAGGGCCAAAAGTTATAAGCAAGTGAAGTGTGTTAATCTGATACAACAGAATTGTATTTTTAGGGGGCCTTATGCAAAAATGATTATGAAATATAAAAGCCAGACTTTTTATATAACTGCTTGCATATTTTTTAAGCCAAAAATGCAGAAAATAAATTTAATTGTTGCAGGTTAGATAAGCTATTAACATTTTTCAAGTGTTTCTTTAGATATTTTACAGGAATTCACTTTACAGCACTTAAAACAAAAATATTTTTTTTTAATCAAGCTTTGAATGTTGATATATATTGTGACGAAGTCACTCAATTTTGCTCTCAATTAATTTAAAAATGTATATTTCAATTAATTCCCGCCTGAGGACATGTAGAAGTTCCAAGGTATTTCTGTTTCCCAGGAATTACCGTTTTTCAACAATTGCGAGTACCCTCGTAGGTTAAAATATTCCTATATTTGCCGAAATCCAAATGGGCATTTTTAGAGTCGATTTCGTATGAATTATCTACCTTTATTTGTCAAGGTACTAGAAGGACATTTTTTTATTTTTAAATTGTAAACAGCTGCTGTAGTAGTGGTATCTTCACTCGGATTTATCGAAAAGCATAAATTCAATGACATCTGGGAATTACGCCCTCTTGATTGCCGGCCGCCGTAAGCTCTACTCTCTTGATTGCCGACAGCCGAAAACTATTCGCCCTTCTATAGTGCCTAGTAAAGACTCCGTGACTGCCGTGATTTCGAAAAGATTATTGAATAACCCCGTTTATATTCTAAGGTAGGAACCGCATATTATTTTTTAATCGACTTTTATATAATTAGTTGGGGACACCCGTACGACAAGTGAAAAATTTTGATTCATATCCAAGATATTTCATTTCATCCCTCAGTGGGAAACCGTTGGCATTTTTTTTATTTGAGGCTGGACGTAGGCTAGACTCTTGAGTGCTCTCATTGTTAACGACTATATCCAATCTCTCTTAGAAACCGCCCTGTTAACATTGAAGTGAGAGGTTCAACCCATTTCCAATTTTTTTATTATTTTATTTTCTTTTCCGGAGGTTCGATCCGTTCCCGGCTTAGGTGCTCTCTCTCCTGATGACGTTATCTAATTTCCCAAAAAGACGTTTAAATTAATTTCCGCGTCTCACTTCGTGTAAAATTTCTTTTCTTTTAATTTTTTTTTTATTCAGCTGTATTTGAATCATTCCGTTCCCCGTCCACAATTAGTTATTGAATGAAGCCAGACGACTTCTGTAAAATTAAATTCACACACGCTCTCCATCGACTCTGGGCAAATTTCAAAATATTATTTTCTACGATCGTCGTGTCCGCCGTCCAAAACACCGCATAAATAACCATATTTCTCACTAGACGAAAATTTTCGCTTCCCATCGCTCGTAGTTAAGATACGAGGGGGTTCCGACAACTTTGATTTCATTTATTTGCTTGCATTTGATTACCGTCATATTTAAAATGTTTTCAAGTGTATTAATTTATTTTTAATAAATTTTCCGTATATAGGAAGTTCCATAATTCCCGGACCGCTTGGCCTCCTGTGCTAGCGAACCGTAATTACTTCTCAATATTTAAATTGTTTTCAATTGTAATAATTTATTTTTCATAAATTTTCCGGATATAGGGATCCGTCAATATTTAAATTTTCCGTATACTGGGCGTTCCATAATTCCCAGACCAATTAGCCTCCCGCGCTAATGAACCATAAACATTTCCCTATATTTAAATAATTTTCAATTGTAATAATTTTTTTTTCATAAATTTTCCGGATTTAGGAATCCGTCAACATTTAAATAATTTTCAATTGTAATAATTTATTTTTTATAAATTTTCCGTATATAGGGATCCATCAATATTTAAATAGTTTTCAATTGTAATAATTTATTTTCACAAATTTTCTAGATATAGAGATCCGTCAATATTTAAATAGTTTTCAGTTCTAATAATTTATTTTCAATAAATTTTCCGAATATAGGGAGCCGTTCATATTTAATTACCGTTGTATTATTTTTTTTGTAAATATATATTTTATTACCTATTCCTGTGTTTCTCGTATTACTGGTTCTTAACCGTTCTCTTTCAGGGTACCGTAGGGTACGAGGTATAAAGGAGATAAGTGTTTTATTTTTATTTATTCTGTATAGTGGCTACCTAGCAGTGACCGCCTAGAATTATTTACCCCCACTGAGTTCACCTTGAGTACACTCTGGTGTACCACAGGGTCGCAGAGCAAACTGCGATACCAAAACTGGTGCCTGAGCAACCCCTATTCGGGAATCACCTTCATAGCGCCACACAGACTCGCTGATTCACTGTAGGTGAACCAGAAGCCTGTTACAATATTTTACTCAACTGATCAAAGACGCACTCATAAGGTGATAATGCAAGATGAATCACAATTAAGCAATTATATAATGAATTGAGAATTTTACAGTGAAATAAATCAATCTTCAAAAATCATCAAAATTTAACATTGTAAATAGTAGATAAGAAACAAAGATTGAATATAAAATAAATCAACCAAGTAGAACTGCAGATTCAAAAGAATCCAAGATTATTTCTGATGAATAAACCTTAATTGGAAGTAATTTGATAGACAGCCAAAGGTATGTGTCTATGAAAATAACCCTAGTGTAAATACATCAAATTAAAAGCTTTATTTGCATTTTAAGTGTGTACACAACGTTTAGCAAATATGCAACTAAAATTGATTTAAAAAGTTGCAAATATTTATAAAAATACTAATTACCCAAATGACAGTCCCAAAATTATGAATTAGAAAAGAAAAATATAAGAGAATCAATAATCAATTAATACAAAATAAAAAGAATGTTAATTGGGTAAACTTTTGAGTCATTCATAAAAATAACTGACAGTGCCATGCTTTTTCAATTGAAAATGTACAAATCTGAACAATGTTTCACTCAGATAAGACTCCAAGGTTTTGAAAAAACCATAATAAATATTAGTTATATATTTTAATTAATGAAAAATGGTTTAGTAATTTGAGGTTATTATGTAAGAAAATTTCTAATCAAACTGAAGAATGTAGATTTTAAAAATAACCATAAAAAAAGAAAAATCAGGCCAATTGATTTCAGGATATGGAAAATAATAGTGGATAAAGTAGAATTAAAGAATGTAGGAGTTAAAAAATCAGTAACACAAAAAATAACTTTATAGACATTCATTTGATAGCAGAAATGCTTTGCTTTACTATTTTTAGGACTAAAACGAGTTGTTTTTATTTTTTTACACTCAATCGAACAGCCCTGGTATTATATATCCAATAAATAAGTAGATAATTTAAACAAAATAATCACTCAAATCACCCTGTATAGGAGTCAAAACACAAATTAAAAAATTATCTAAAGAGATACTCTAAATAAAAGTAAACAATAATAGAGTCTATTAAATCTGCCTACACTTCTGTAGTTATATATTTACAAAAAAATAATAAGTTTATCAAAACACTGTTGCCAAATTTGAATCATTTAATAGGAATGTAAGAAATTTTGACATTTTTTATAACATCTAAAACTTGCTTAAACTACATTATAGACAATATTATTGAATAAAAAATGTACTTACATCATCATCAGGAATTTCGACAGCATCGTTCTCATCATCTAACAAAAGTTGCATTTGTTTAAGGGCTTCCTTGCTAGCTGCCCTCCTCGATTGGGTTCTGGACCTAGGAGGGCTCATTTCCACTGCAGGTCGTTTCGGCATTCTCACCTGTTTAATTAAAAATAATTTTATTAAAGAAACTATGGTTTACAACTTAATAAATTCTTTTTAAAAACCTGTTTCGTGCTTTTACGGCCTACTGAACTATTAACATATTCTTAATTTTATCCATTATAGACCACAAAAGAAAATAATGATATAATAAAGCAATTCATATTAATAAACAAATCAATTTAACCTCAAAAACAGCCATAACCTCAAAAAATGTTCACTGCAATCATAAATGTATTTAAAAACTTATGAAACAAATTATTTTTAAATAAAAATAAGTGGAGTTCAAATATACACTACAGCAGTTTTCAAATTATTTATAGTTGGGGATTAAAATACTTATAGGATGACAGAAGATGGGAATATTAAGGTGGGGCGAGTGGGTCAAATTTACATTATGATCATACAAAGCAAATACATTCGATTACCTTGCCGTTATCATAGGGAATAATTTGTAATAAACAAACTTATTTTGAATAATAATCACCAAAAATATATACAATGGCGGTAAATAAATTTTGACAGATGCAAAATTTCAAACACTATTCGCGTCAATTATCAATGGGATGCTTTTAATAAATTACCATCTTTAGTTTTGGCACTAACACTCAAACGATTTCTTCATAATACCGATTTTTTTCAAAAAAAATTCTCAAAATTATTGTTTTGCGTCAAACCGGCTAGCGTCCATTTTAATTTAACTATGTCAAAACGCTGCTGTGGGCGGAGCATAAACAAAGCGGTAAATTCAAATTTAACCTCTAATTTCCAATAAACAAAGGACTATTTAGAACGGTAGTACTATTCGAAACCCCTCGTATACCAATTGAAGTTTTTAGCTATTGACTACAGTGGTAGCGAGGAAAATAAATATCAGAATGTAGAAATTAACGTCTTGCGTCATCAATATGGCGGTATCCAACAAAGAGGGAGGGGATATGAACTGACTTGATTGTTGTTTTGTAAAGGGGTTTTGTAATGAAATTTTGAGGACTACAGGTTTTTTTGTTAGTAGAGACCCCTACATTTAATTATGCAAATCTACGAACTATGAACAAACAACCTACCTTCTCCGCCTTTTCGGGTTTCTCTACTTTTTCCTCCTTAACTTTCACCTCTTCAACCTTTATTTGTTTGCCCGAATCCTTTTTGCTTATTTTTATTTTGAAGGTTGATTTCTGCGGCAATAGAAGATTCGGCACCGCCTCATTTTTCAATGCTTTTATCTCGCCTAAAACATACAGGGTGTCAACAAAAAAAAAAGAAACATTTCTAATGCTAATAGTTCGTACAGGTGTTCTTACTTCCAGAAGGCGCATTTTTGGCACCCATATAGTTAAACCTAGTAACGGCATAATCCTGATTCTTAAAATGTTTGGAACAAACTCTGGATTTTTTGTTGATCTCCGGTTCGGTGCGGTTTATTGCTTTGAGCCATTTTTTTCGCACCTCGGCGTCTTTGGGAATCTGATGGAACTTCAACGAGTCGTTCGAAGCGTCCGTTGAGGTACAACCGGGCACTACACAGATATTTTTTTTCATTTTAGCACTTTAGCTCGGTATTAAAATGAAAAATAACATGCTAACTACAAGGTTATGTTAGTAGATACTCGGTTACCACGACACAAAAATGAAAACTAAAAGCCAAGTTGAGCGATGCTCGCACCATCTGTAAATACATATTAAAAATATTTTTAAACGCAGAAACAGAATCCTATAAAATTTACCCTAGTGGTAAGTAGTTACATTCGTTATAAAATTATTAGTTTCTCTATTGGTTCATAGATGGCGAATAAATTCAAATTTATTGAAAAATCTATTTGTTTTCAATTTTGGGGTTCGGGGATGGTCTTAATAATTGGTAGAGGGATTTTTGAGATTTGTTTCAGAATTTTCAAATTATTTCTACAGCTTATTTCAGATAATTCTGACTTTTCCGATTTCGATTTGCGATCTACGATATATTAAATTCACAATTTATATTTTATTTTTTGTTTCTTTTTTTCTCTTTTTGTATCGATCAAATAATAGTTGTATACACAGTAAAATTATCTAGGTATCTAAGTATCTATGTAGGTATCTAACCCACTGTTAAAAAAGTACCTACATTTTTATACGATACTGTGTAAAGTGCACAGAGAGTAAAGATAATTGCCTACCTATTAGAGTGACATTCAAATCTGTAAATAATAAACTGCTTATAAATTGATTACACTTAATTTTTTTTTGAAACCATTGTTGATAATTCAGTTATAATTTTTCTAAAATATTTGTAATTTGTAATCGTTATACAACCAATAATACTTCATGAAGTATTTTGTGTTGCTTGGTTTTCAACTTTATAATAAATACCAATTAATTTTCAGAACATTTTCACGAAATACGGTGCGGGTTAGGCATTAGGGGTTTAACCCAAGTATAAATGCAGTTTTTTGTTTTCCTAATGATACTTTATGTTTATTAAAAAAAAAAAACAAACAGAAAGTCAATACAAAACATAAAATATTTATTTAAACTACCTATAATATTAACAGAAAATCTTATGAAATAATGGTATTAATAAAAAAATAAAAAAAAAAACAAAAAATTTAAGTCTATCCTTTAGTATTCTCACATTTTCCCCATATATTTTGTTTTTTAGAGTTTAAAACACACAAAACGTTGGCACATATAGTTTCTAAACCTTTTATATGCATGATTTTTTCTGTTTCAAAAGTATAACTCGAAATAAGGATCGGGGCACCTACTTACCAACATAAGCCATGTCGAGTTTTATTTATTTTTTTTATTAAAATTATAAGATGCATGAGGCATTGGCGGCTCTCGTCCCCCTCCCCCCAAAACAAGCAATTATTATTTTACAGCTTTTTTCTACGTTCATGCAAAAAACAAAACTTTATTGAACTATATTTAGTGAAAAAACTGGGTTTTTATTGCACTAGTGCAATAAAAATTTTATTGCACTCATCTGTCATTTTACTACAGCGTTTTATGATCATGAAACTGCAGGCAATTTTCAAATATAGCACCCCTTAAATTATTATTTAGTACCCACGTGCGTTCTAAGCTGGAATATTGTAGTCTGATCTGGAACCCTTATTACAACTGCTACGTTCTGGATATAGAACAGGTTCAAAGAAAATTTTTAAAATACCTAGTTTTCAAAATTGATGGAGTATATCCCGAACGTGGTTGTGATTATACGGAGTTGTGTAAACAATTTGATATTAATAGCCTGAGCCTAAGAAGGAACACATCCTCGCTTATTTTTCAATTTAAACTCATGCACAATTTTATTGATTGTAGTGATATTTTGTCACAAATTAAATTTAATATACCCCGTCTAAATTCTAGAACCAACAAGCTATTCGAATGCCCTAGGGCAAAAACCAACTTGATGTTAAAATCACCCTTATATGTAATGTGTAACAATTACAATAAAATTAGTAGTCATTGCGATATTTTTCATTGTTCTCTTGGTGAACTAATTAAAAATGCAGTTACTTTCCTTAACGAAATATTGTAATAAGTATATTGTATTATATTGAATTCTCCCTGTGTTATTTTTGTAAGAATTTTTTTTTTTTTTAATATATTCTTGGCTTGTTCACAATATTCATTTGTTTTCTATTATAGTTTTTATTTTGCAACTTTTAATTAGTTTTCGTGTAAATATATGTTACATCACAACCCATAAGTAGAATTTACTTTTGTAATTTATTAATTTTATTTTTAGATACCACTTTATTATTGTTACTTACTATTAAGAATATTGTCCTGTAAATGGGAAACTGTTGGGCAATAAAGCTATTATTATTATTATTATTATTATTATTATGACAAACATAAATATTCAAATCAACGCCAAATATTTAGTCCATTTTCATTTTCTGTGTTACGTTTTAAAAACAATTGCATATTTTATATTATTTTCAATCATTTAATAAATAAATAAAAAAAAAATGTATTTTATTAAAAATGTCATTACAAATTATGAACACAAACGTAAATAAATGCCTCAAACAAAGGTACACGATCACGTCCTACTATGATTTGGATAATACAACTGCAGTCCTATAAAACATTTTTTGGTTTTTGCATGAACGTAGAAAAAATATTGTATGTAACGCGTGCAAAAAGTGTTTATTGCACGCGATAGTTTCACGTCGCTTGCAATAAACACTTACTTTTTGCACTTGTTGCATAAATAACTATTATTCACTTACTTTCTATACATTAATTCTATTCTGCAGTCCCCATATGCGTGTTAAAAAAAATCTCTTTTCTCTTTTCGTTTATTTACTTATAAACTACATCCATGTCTTTCATATATAAAGGAAACACGCGCTTGAATTAACACAAACTTATAGTCTACAAAGACAAAATCGAATCACCCCATACAGCACAAACACATTTCGGAAATATTTCAAAATATTACATTGAAACATTTATAATGTTGTATAAATATTACGAAACATCCCAGAAACATTTCTGAAATGTGCCTGAAACGTAAAAATGTCCTGTAATTATAAATATATTATTTTACAGTAATATTTCTGAAATAAAAATTTGAAATCTTTTAGAAATATTAAATAGTAATATTTCAGAATTGCATTTTAGCTTTTTTCTTTTCTAAAATATTATTAGACTAAAAAAAGACATTTATAAATATATATGTTTATTTAAAATACACAAAATTCAAACATTGATTCTTAAACAAAACAAACAAATAAATAATTTTTAAATATTATTTTATAAAATATAAAGGCAAAACGCTTCATTTCCTCAAATTCCTTTAAATGCACTAATCTGAAACAAATAGTTTTTTTTTAATAAATGCTCCAAGTAAAGAAACATTTACGATTATTATAATCTGATAATTAAGATCGATTAGCAATTTTATTCTAATCTAATTTATCAAGAGACGAAAAACTTCATAAACTAATATTCTACTCACTAGTATTACCGTCTAATTATTTAGTTACAGTACTGTTAACGTATAACATTTAATCGCACTATACTCTGCTTTAACATCACTAAACTAACTCAAAAGGCTTGGTTCTCTTCTTATTAGATTGGCATTGTTGAGGAGCTGGATAATATCAAGGTTTCCATGTTGGAGCAGTCGTTGTTGGTGACTACTGGCAAATTTTTGTATTGTATTTTCAACAGTCTCCACTTTATGGTCCCTTTAAAGATCAGCATTGTGGCAGTACCAGGGTGTATTGACAATGTTCCTTAATACTTTATTCTAGAAACGTTGAATAACTTCGAAGCTACTTTTACTGGCACAACCCCAAAGCTGGCGAATCGCTTCATTTTCACCTTTAAATGCACTATTCTGAAACAAATTATAGGTAAATAAAAAGGTCTATTAATATTGTTTTAAATTAACTACAAAAAAACAAACAATACCCATGCCTACACAAAACATAAACCTCCACTTTTCAATCAGCTGTAGAACTAATAAATAAAACTGGTGGAGGGACAGCAAATGTAGGACATCATCTACTGATAGGTATAGGTGGAAACAAAAAACATCCTCGTTTCACTTGTACTGCTAAAGACCAACCATGTAAACAATGTCGAAAAAGAGGTAATTTCTCAAACATATGTATGAGCAAAAAGCTTAAAAATAGGTCCAAGTCAGCTTCACTTTTACACACGACTGGTTTAATTGCGGCTGCTTCACAATGTCTTTCAAAATCATTGATAAAAGTTAAGATCAATAATATCCCAGCTCATTCCCTCATAGATACTGGCAGTTCCGAGTCTTACATTGACGAAAATTTCGTTAGAAATATTAAATTGCAAATACTACCAAGTAATAGTAAAATATCAATGGCTTCTACTGCCCCAAGCTCAGCATAACTGGTCACTGTTTCGTTAACTTGGATTTAATGGAATATCACGATAAAAATAAAAAGCTATCTGTACTTACAAATCTCTGTGCTGGCGTCATAATTGGACATATCCGTAAAAACTATTCTAAGGTCACACTCGACTTTGGTGGTCCTAGACCATCAATAACAATCTGTGGTTTGGCTTTAGGCAAAGTCGAACCACAAAATCTATTTAATAATCTTGTTCCTAACAGTACGTCAATAACTACAAGATCCAGAAAACATTTTTATGACGATAAAAAACTTATACATGAAGAAATCCAAAAACTCCTTGGTGAAGGAATAATAGAGGAAAGTACCTCAACTTGGAGAGCTCCTAATTACTAAAAATGAACATCATAAAAAAGAATGGTAGGAGACAATTAATCGCTTTACATTTTTGAAGAACTTATCGCTATCATTTCAAAATACAATTTCTTTAGTACTATCGATCTTAGAAGTGGTTACCATCAAGTTCCGATCCGGAAAGAAGAAAAACTCGATATTGCTTTCGAAGCTTAATGCGACGCTCTATCAATTCCGAAGAATCCCGTTTGGTATAACCAATGGTGTAGCATGCTTTTAGAGAATTATTGACAGTATCATCAAACGAGAAAAACTACCTGGAGTGTATGCATACTTAGACGATGTCACAGTATGTGGAACAAGTCAAGTCGAACACGACGAGAACCTTAAACAATTTTTGGCTTCTGCAGAAAAATACAACCTTACCCTAAACTATGAGAAATGCCACTTTTCAAAACGTTCGATCA